CGCAAAAATAATAATAATAATAATAATAATAATTATTATTATTATTATTCTTATTATTATAGACAAAGGTTACTTGAATATTTTCAAATTTGGAACAGTAACGAACGACGTGTAGTAGTTAAAAAACCTACAGTAATATATTACTAACGTACATATAATAGATTTGTTTGATTACAATTAACTAATTATTATTGCATTTAAATATACATTGCAGACTTCTATAAAATCGTAATTTTATAAAAATAAAGGCGAGAATAATCTCATTCGGATTATATATAAATTCAAGTTGAGCATATTTAAACTTTAGCGCCTTTGCTATGTGTGGTGTAGTACTGCAGTAGATAACTCCGATAGTGGGGACAACAGCCAAATAAAAAAACAATTATTTGCAAACTAATATTGCATATTTCGCATTTCCACATATTTTTCCTTAATCAGCAAAATATTTGCAAACGATCTAGATATGCTTAGTGTTTGCAAATTATGTCTGAGCCAAGAAAACGATAATTTTGAAGGTTCTCGCCGCAACAAAAGTTTTTTGTTAATTATAAAAAACGTAAAAACCCCACAGTTTTTTAACAAAGTTTTGCAAACGTTGCAAACAATTCCGCATTTTTTGGCATTATTAACACTTGAATACAAATATCCTCTCGCTGCGTTCGCTAAGCCGTGCGAACTTCACTTCACGTGGACATACTTTATTTGAAAAAGTAGCGTTTTTCTTTAAAATTCCTAACCTTATATCCACGTAATTACGTGGATTTGGTGCGAATAGACACAGCGTTGGCAAGTTGTTGCAGCTAGTTGTATCTTTTGAAACATGGCAGAAGCACAAATACAGCCCATAGATATTGTGGAAAGAATATTCAGCAACTGGACTGCCCTGCGAATGGCTGTCGAACATGGCATGGGATCCCAGGCTGAGGCTTACAACTTTTGCGGATACATAGCAGAGCTCTTGGAGATCAATGACCAGCAAATGCACTACACAGATTTATCCATAGAGTTGGAGAACTATTTGGATGAGAAGTTTAATACGACGCTTGAGGACGACAGTGAGAAGCAAGTTGCCCAAGATCTTGTTAAGTTTCACCTCTTGATGATCAAGAAAGATGTGGCATCTCTGCAGGCAGAGTTTTCAAGACTACCAAGTCTTCAGCCTTGGATTCAAGATCCTACAGTCTTAAAAAAGGTTGAAAGTGACAGTGAGAGTGATGATGAAGAAATGGACACTGATGACAATGACAATGATGGTGATGATAACAAAGAAAGTGGTAAAAGTAAACCAAAGGGTGGAATGGAAGTTGACCAAGATGGTTGGACCATTGTGAAAAAGAATAGATAACATGACACCTTGGCTTAATTTTTCTACTCATTCAACTTTGTAAATAAAAGCAAACGCCATCCCGTTACGTTAAAACGTGTATATATCTTTGAAAACACTTTCCTAGCTATAAAGTTTAATACAAGAATTCAAGTGTATAACACTAGTTTGTACTATTAAATATAAATCCCACCTCGTCATTAAACAAAATATGGTTTTTAATTTCGAATTAACTGTTGCTTATATCAATGCAGTAGTGTCACATGTGTCGACATACAGTAATTATTATTATTATCACTTGTTGAAAATTTTTTGTGACTTATACTTTGCAATTAACCTTAAATTGCACAAAATGTTAGGTTATCTAATATGGTAAACAAAGTGGATAATTTAAAAAAAACGAGATTTTTACATGCAACTGCTTTGAGGTTATCTTTTCTATGTAAAGGCACGTACATCTATAAATAAAGAGAATTTGTTTAAATTTATACCTTTGAAGGTGATAGCAAATAGAAAGCAATTATACTTGGTAAGGGAAACTGAAGTAATTCAAAAAAAAGAGCCAAAAGCGACGCATGCGCGCTTGGTAGAAATTTAAAATCGGCCAAGTTCGGAAACAAGCGCTCACGAGCGGTGCTTTTCCCCAACGAAAATCGTAACCGAGCCCGCGCTTCTATTAGGCGACCATGTTATGCAAAGAGGTCTTCTTTCTTTCCTTCGACTCCTCGCTTGTCATGCGCTCCTAGTCCCTGGATCCAGCGACTGGCGACTTTTGGCTTCGAGTGGCCCGATTCGACCGCAGGGTTCGCTCTGCTAATACGCTACTACCTCCTGGTTATTATACTACCCTCCTATTTCAAAGCAAAATTTTGAATTCAATGTTATGAGAAATAATGCCGCATTTCTGCGCCGTGATCCGTGATTGGCTGTTGCCTTCCTGAGACCTCTTCGCATATCATGTTATCCTGGTGCTAAGTTTAAATTATGCTTAAATTATAACATCTCAAAATAATTTAGTAGAATAAAGAAAAAATTGTAATTATTGTCATAACCGAATAAAGGCTTAGTTACAATCAATTTCATTTACAATAAAACGTGTCAAATATTATTTTATAACTTTTTTTATAGATTTATGTTAACATCGTACAGTCGGTCAGTAGGGTCACTGATGTAATCTGGTATGTATAACAATATGTAACTGTGACAACACGTTTTTCGTCGCCTTTTTTTTCGTAAATATTAGTTAATACAGAAATGCAAATGTATTACGATAATTACTATTTCTTTGCTTACGTAACAGGTTTTAAATTTAATATTGAAACATATTTTAAACTTAGCGCGATTCTGCCAGTCTGCAGACTGCCAGACTCCATGTACCCTCAGAGTGCTCAGTGCTGCAGCCAAACGCATGCACGCTAACTCAAAACGAACGCTCGTGCGTTCGTTCGTTTCCCTCCCGCTTCAATAGACGCCCAGGCGAGAGCACTGGTGCGAACTGGCTTAGCGAACGCAGCGAGAGGATATTTGTATTCAAGTGTTAATAATGCCAAAAAATGCGGAATTGTTTGCAACGTTTGCAAAACTTTGTTAAAAAACTGTGGGGTTTTTACGTTTTTTATAATTAACAAAAAACTTTTGTTGCGGCGAGAACCTTCANGTAACCTGGTTCGCTTAAATATTATTGAATTTATAAATTTTTCCAAAAGGGGACGCCAAGCTTTTCAACTCTACGAGCAGCCGCATCGAGACATAGTAGTTATCAAACCTCTGCAACACATACGATACTCTACCGAAGAAGAACTCTGAAATAACACAATTATCCTAATCATCATTATTATGATCATCATTATTACTATGATTATTGCAATGATTCCAATTGGTAGCAACAAAAAAATGAATTTAAAAAACACACGTCGCAATAGCTACAGGGCATTGAAACTTGGTACCGTTACTCGACCCCGCAGCTGCGATAGCTTTTCCCCTGTGAGCAACAAGTGGGTACACGATGACTCGGCCGCGCAGTCATCAAGCCTCGGCGGTCCTAAAAAAAGCTCAGGAAAACGAAAACAATGCAGTGCTACAACTTTCGTCAATTTCGTTGCAGGGAAAATACTTTCTCCCCTATGTCCCCCATGGGTTTTCCCATCATCACGATCATCACCGATGATGACGTGCATTTCGATGACTCGAAAGAAAAAGCTCATCCAACTGATTCCGGAAAGAGCTTTTCACTCCCAAGCTTGGCAGCAGAGCTCGGCCAGCCCGACTTTTCGGCAATTGGGCTGTATGTGTATATATCAGACATCGGCTTTCTGTAGACCCCACCCACCCTCCTTCCATTTCTCTCCACAACTCTCACTCTGTGCCTGTGTGATGGTACATGTGAAAGTGGTGAGAGAGAGAGAGAGAGAGAGAGTTGGTTCGGTACACATGCACACCAAGAGAACGTTGGTTCCGTGATCAGGGGGGTTGGGAAGAGGGGCAGGACGGGCGGGAGAGAGTAAAAGAGAGAGAGAGAGCAGGTCTTTCGGAGAACTCTACGTGGCTGATGGTACCCTGCCGCCGGCGTTGTCCGGCGCGTTGCCGAAATTCACCGATGATTGATGGGCTGTTCGGCCCGGGCCAAGTGTATATACACACTCATGTAGTGATCAAAACACCTTCGACTTGGCTATGTGCTTTTATTATTAAAAAAACAATTTTTCCCCTCCAATCTTTTTATACAATAGCGGTTGGTTCGGGCAAGGCCACGGACGGGGTGTATAATTTGGGAACAAAACTGCGCTGGGGAGCGCGAACGCGAATCCTGCCCACACACCTGATGTATACACAAGGCGTCGCCCACCTTGTAGATCATGGGAGATGAACCCACGTGTACATACATGCGTGTATGTATAATGACACATAAGAGTGTGGGCTGCGGATGCTGCGAGAGTGCAACGGCGGATTTCGTCACAGGAGCCTATGCGAGCGAGGCTGGCTCTACTATGTGCTCAGGTAGATGTTGTACATTGTGGATACGTATACATGTATATACCTATACGTGGAGCTTAGATTCTGCTGGAAGCTGGGTATACATGAGTAGAAAGTAAACGTGTTGAGATCTACCTCTCTGTATACGTATACATGAGAGTTCGAGCAGGCACTGCATGTACAAGAGATTGTAAGTTGGAAAAATTTATTGTTTAATTACTCAAACGAGATATTATTGGTAATTATTGAGTCAATCAAAAAGATCCCAAACTGTCGCACGATTTTTCGGTGCCAAAAATTCCATTACTCGCGTTGCAAAAAAACACATGGGCATTTAATACAAATAAATAGTTTCTTTTTTTTTTTTTTTTTTTAGTCGCAAGCACAAGCTTGAAACTTAAAATACATAAGTACCCACCTATCGAAGAATACAAAACGCTCTCAAGTTGTAATTACACCGCAAGCTCGTGTCTTCCTTTCGCTCGTTGGTCCGCCCGCAAGGTGAAATCTTGCGTTGCAGAGCCACAAACGCGCGCGTGTATATTTTGACCGCAAAATGCTGCCATTGCAAATTCGATATTCCACGGGCGCTAATTAGTAGAGTTGGGACGCAGAGAAACGCAACTCGAACTTCAAAGGGTCAAAATTGTACAGAGGTTTGAATATACACATGGTAGGGAAATTGTCCTGGTGTTTAGCCGTCTCTCGAGCCATTAAATCCCACATTGTTGCTTTGGCTAATAGCTTTGCGTCCAAGTACTATTGAGTATAATATCTTTTGAATATGCGCACGAGCTTGTGGAGATGGCTTCTCCGGACTACAGTTTCGTTGTTGCGGCTTAAGTACCCAATAGTCGTAGAGCTGATCTGCATGGAAAATGCTGGTTATTTGTACACGGAAAAGAGCATGTCTTTCTAAAAACTGGGCCAATTAGATAGCTCACTGTTAAATGCGTACAACGTATGACAATAAGTTGTTACGATGTTTTTCGTATGTTTGATTTTGGAAAGTATGAAATTTATACTGATTCATTACCGTTTCATTGTTTAAAAGCGTTTAAAAGTTACATGTAATTATAAGAAACGTAATTATCAGTGCTTTGTTGAAACACCTAATGTATTGGAGTTGTCTTCACAGAGCTTTCAACTTGTATCGGGTACATATTTATCTGCATTGATATACATGTACAATATGATATGCATGTATAACAGCTACGTGATGAGAATACGCTGTTTCTGAAGTCTCTACGATTACATGCACTCCTGATACGTCAAAACATATTTCTACACTACCATCGCAATAAAATATTCATAATCAACACGAAGTAGTGTATGAGGAACTAGAAAACGTATGCCAATACGTATTTTAGATAGTGTTGTGTATATTATGTAACTAATGTTTCAGCAGGGAACAATTATTATTATCTTATATTATTACTCTCGATCAAAATTGTTGTAAAATATATAATAAATAAGTACTTAATTCATTGTAGGAAAAAAAAAAAATTGTTTCTCAATGAATGCGGAAAGGATGGAATTAAAGCTAAATTAAAATTCTAATAATTAGAGTAACATTGCTCCCCTGATCGATACTAATTTTGTTCCAACACTATTTTATAAATAGTTTTGCCATTCCCCGCAAAAATATATGTATGAACGATGAAAAAAATAATAATCTCATAATTGATTGATTATTTAGTTGAATCCATTGGTCAATAAAACGATGCACAGGCAAAGCTTTTTTCAAACTTGTCTATTTAAAAGCCACAAAATACAGTAAAAAAAGCATTCCTGTAATATAAATTAACTCGAGCACCCGAAAAATCTGCATTGAAAGGGTTCTTGACAATCCAACCGGTAAGTAAGTATACATATTGTACTTGTAAGCCAATTTGAAGCGTCAGGCAGTGTCGAGCAATGCAAGGGAGAAGCGTATGTGATGGAGTAACGAGAGCGCATTTATAAGTATATGAAACATATATGTACTACACGGAGGGAGGCGATAAGCCTCGCTCCGTCTCTCTCGGTGTACTTAGAGTTGCGGAAAGGAGGGGGGACCGCTTCATGACTCGTGACGTAACGCGCGTAATTGTCGGTAGTACGTGCACCCGGGACATATCAGGGATAGGAGCTGGGAGAGTTGCTCCC